TACTTCACCCAAAAATGAAAATTCTGTCATTAATTTCTCACCCTTATGTCGATCCAAACCCAGAAGACCTTTGTTCATCTTCGGAACACAAATTAAGATACATTCCTTTATATACTAAGGCTGTAATTGTGATAAGAAGAACACATCAGTTTCACTGATGCTCTTCAGGAAACAGAAGGTAGCTTGGCTCAGTCTTATGAGACCTGTCAAGAATATGTCATATTTCACATTAAAAATCAAAAGAAAGTAGTAAGGAATTATATTCTGCTAAAAGTAAATGAAATGACAATTTGCTGAAATTCATTCACTCTCAGACCATCAGATTTGGAGAAATATAGCATTCCGTCACTTGCTCATCTATGGATGCTCTGCAGTGAATGGGTGCCGTCAGAATGAGAGTCCAAACAGCTGATAAAAACATCACAATAATCCACAAGAAATCCACACCAGTCCAGCAATTACCATCTCGAGAAGCCAAAAATTGTGTGTTTGTACGAAACTCATTCTCCATTAAGACATTTTTTACTTCTGGCCAGAATATGAGTCCTCTATCCACAACCACGTGAAAAAAGTCATCTGGTCTGAATCAGAAGAGAAATCTGCACAGATCAAGCACCATTTACAAGCCAATACAGTCCAAAATAATTTTTAACAAATATGTGGGTGGATTTTGATGTGAGAGACAACAGGAGATGGACTTTTTCGATTGTCATTTTTTGGGTAAACTACTCTTAATTGTTACAAGTTTTCACAATGCAACAGTGTAATTTACTTGATGCAAATGAAACACATTGACATATCTTTCAAAACTATACAAATATGCGCAAATATACTCATGTTATTATGCATGTGAATGAAGTATAAGTACAAGCTTTCCAGATTGTCTCAGTTTAATCCTTGTTCTTTATCCTCCCGAGCCTGTAAAGTGCTCCCTGAATTCCTCATTATCTGTCAAGCCTGGTGTCCCTTTTGTTCTGTGCCTGTCTTATTTAAAGCAGCAGAATTAAATAAATATCAGCGCGGACTGATGGAAAGATGCATCTGTTCTCGTGTCTCCTAGGAGAATCACCAGTACAGCTTTCCAATCCACAGTCGCCCTCTTAAATGTGCAAACAGCAAAACGGCCCCTCCAGTATAATCTAAGAGCTCACCATGTGCAGCTTCTAACCATGAGGAAGACTAAATTAGCAGCACTTCTCCTCTCAGATAAATAAATGAGCACATGCCTTTTACACTCATTAGGAAAGTGAAAAGCTTGATGTACAGTAAGGCAGTTCATATTTGAACTGTCCACACAAGAAACTACTCCAACACTACAACCAAATTGGGAAAAATGCCTTTGTTATTTTATAGTCCTAGTTCTGTTAGGTTTCCATCTTATAAACCTGCTTTATACTAGGCACAGAAAGGCACAGAAATGTTCACCGGAAATCTTTAAATCAGGTGCATTCTGGTTAGAAATGCTGTCCAACTTGATGAGGCATCATGCTGATGTGTGGCAAAATACTCATGCAGTCATTTTTAGCAGAAGGTGCCACCGTTAGTTTCCAGAAACTGGAAACGTTCATCAAGTCCATCTTCAGGTAAAAGCAGCAATTTTTTTGGTGATTTTAAAAAACAGTTATTAAAAAAAGACAAAAACTAAAGTTGGCATGCAACCCTGGTATAACATATGCTATTAGTAATTTATGAAATACGTATATATTTAGTATATGTTTTACTTTTTCAAGCAGGGATGCATGATACCCTCTGATTGGTTAAATATTGTTATATTTGTTATGTGGCTTGTTTGGAGTGAATGCAATTGAAGTTGGACATTAGGAAGGGTTTTTATTTTTATTTTATTTTAGTATTTTGTACTAAAGAAATTCACATATAGGCAAAAATTGCATTTGTCAAAAATATAGGAAAACTTAGGCAATTCACACGATAACGCTCAGCGTGGCACTAGAAACGCAAGGCTTCAAACAGTTTCAGAGGTTAGCTCCTGTTTTGGCACAACAGATCCTGGCAGTCGAATACTGTTGTTAAATTTCATTGTAAAACTGCTCTGTATCTCATTACTGTAGGGCAGGGAGTCAAGGACAGCAACAGAAACGAAGCGACATGTTTGTAACATCAGACTGGAGACAAATAGGTGGCTCCCTTTTCCCTCAACACTCTGCCATTAATTAATCAGTGGATTTATTTTTAACAAGTTGCGCTAGAACTTGATGGACTCATTAATAATGCATAGCGCTGCACAGCAGAACAGCAGCATGTGGCTGTCACCATAGGAAACACACGCAGCCATAGAGCATCTAAAAGTGCATGCACATATTTGATCACTGACAACTGTCCCATACAGAGCTCAAAATCTATTTGCTGTGCCATGAAAACTGAATTTGTTAGAAATAGGGAACATGAAACACCTTTTGCAACCCTGACTTATATAATGTGGCGTGACAAAGTATATTTAACAAATGCTTTATATTAACTTTAATTGTGATCATATTTTAAATCTTTATACTCTGCATCTACATTTTGCTCTTCTCATCCTATTTTCACTCCAAATTCAACGTCATGCTTCGCCTTCATTTCTGCTTCCTCTCTGCCCTTCTGCTCTTTTATTTTCTTCCATATCTGACTTGAATTTCCTGACTGCACACTCATTGCTGATTTCTAAAAAGTCGATTTTACATGTCAGTTATAATAATTAGCGAATCTCAGTTTATATAATGATTGTGAGTGGAATTTGTGAAGGTTCAAGGTGGCTTTACCTGAAGCCTACTTTACCTTATAAATGAACAGAAATGCTGTCAAAATAATATGGGGAAAAAATGTGTGTGTGTGTGTGGGGGGGGGTGGAAATTTACTGGATTGTGAAAAGTACATGTTAAAGATTAGAATAGATCCAGGTGGTTGAAAGACAGAAATTGAAAAATAAATAAATAAAATCTGTTTTAGGGGCAATACATGCACTTATGATCAAAAATGTGAATTAAGAACATTTTTATTTCATGTTAACTTTAAGAGATGGAGCAGATTATATTTATGAAGGTTTTTTTATGATAAAAACTATAATGTTTTATTACCATACTACAAAAGTTCATAATTTATGAGCCTTTATGATGCTGTGAATGCTTTTTATTAAAGCATGACATCATCTTACAACAAAGAAAAAATCCCTGCTTCATTTTTAGTTATTGCTAATACCAAATGTTGTAACATTTAGGAATGAAGTTCACTAAACCAGTGATCTTTAACCTTTTTAATGACAAAGATGCCTTCACGGATAGACAGCCAGAGCAGGGCAACTCTTCATATAAAACTGAATGTTACCAAGTCAGCTTCATTTACATAGCGCTTTATACAATAGTCTACATATTAGCCAATATAGTTGATGAAAAAAGATGAGAATGTGTAGTTTTTAGTTTAAAAAAATGTCATTTAAAAAACAAGAACTATCTATATTCAAAATCTCTCTGTTTTCTTTGACAAAAAGAGAAGAAAAATATATGGGGCAATACATGCACATGCACATGCACCAAGACTAAAATGACACTAAAATTCACAGATTTTTAGTCAACTAAAACTTGACCAAAGTCTCTTTAAGGCAAGTCATTTCACCTTTGAAACTCCTCTAGGGCAGCTCTATTTCAGTCATGTAAGTGCAGCTCCTATCTCTTTGAATGGGGAAACATTAAATTACATTTCATATTTTAAGTCACCAATGAAGTCTGACAGCAACTGTATCATAAATGTTGTTTCTTATGTTCAAATAGCATTAACCATTTAGGCGCCAGGGATTTTTGGGAAAAATGCTGGATTTTGAAATCAAGATTTCAAAAGCTTGTGTCTTGAAAGGGCTTAAAGATAGAAATCTACTGTAGAAAATTAGAAAATTAGAAAAATGTTGGGCATGACCGAAAGTTTATGTGGGGTGTAAATATACTCGTCTAATTTGCATATTATGACGTCTTCAGAGGCGGCCATCTTGAATTTCATAATATTCAGGAAATAGTAGATATTGAATTGATGTTTGAACTTATTTGCATGTTTTTTTTTTGTCTTTTTATCCTCATTCCAAATTATCAGAAAAGTGGAAACCAACTATAAAACAGGAGAAAGTACTAAATTACCAACAGGCTCATCAAAGCGTTTGATCCAGTCCTGATATGCGACTTTGGCACTTAGAGGGTTAAAAAGGCACGTTTTTCAGGCTAGACCAGCCAATGCGCACGTGCAGTACTAAGTGCACGTCTCAGAATGATGACTGTTTCTAAAGCATCTACTTTCAGCTGCAATGATGCGATTGGCTCTTTTGTTCACAAGGCGGGACTATTCCTCCACATTGCGCGTTGCACTTTCTCCCATTCATAAGTAATAGGAGTGTGCACCGTCTTTGTATATCTAAAGTCTTTGACTTGACTAAAAAAAAACAAACACAGGATAGGTAGACTCAATATGATAAAAACTAAAAAGGACTTTTGACAATTAAAACAGCTGACAAACTGCTGTAAAACAGCTCTACAGAAGACAAAGTTCAATGTTACAATGTTCATCAGTTGCAGTGCGAAACAAATTCTATCCAGCCATAAAGAGCTCTAAAGAAGACAATTGTGTCATTATTGAGGTCAATTAGGTTGACATTGATTCAATGTTGATCAATTAATCAAAACATGATCAAATGAAGGAGATAAGCATTACAATAACACATAGCCAGACGTGTGATGTAGTCAAGCACGCTTTCTCATTCAAGAGCAGATTGAGGTGTCTGAACAGAGTGATGCTGTACAGTCATAGTCAGATTGCATTAGTCTGCTGCATCCTCCACAACCTCACACTCAAGAGTCGTCCTGGGGGAGATTTTTCATACATTTTTATATGTTTGTGACATTATCTGGTTTTCATTATTCCTGTAGTGAATCCAGAGCTAAAGTGACAAATTAAAAACACCGTCAGTGGGTGCAATCCATTCCTCAAATCCCCCATTTAGAAGTTCCCATTCCTACCCTGTTTCATCCTCCCTCATCTCTCATATAAATGCAGGAGCTGTTGACTATCACAGATGGTCTGGGAGGTGTGCTTAGCTTAAGAACAGAGAAAAATACCACAGAGACAGAAGCACAACAGACGACGTGCCTGTTTTTAATCGAACGGGAACACAGAATCACTGCGGCTGAGGAATTCACTATTCACAATTTACACCAGATGGAAAAAGCGTTCACAAATGAGATGTGATCAAATATAGGGCATCTCCCATTGTGTTTAATCGAAGTTTCATTCACAGCGAAAAATTACATTGTGAAGACGCTCTGATGGGGTTTGGAAACGTGACGAGAATGAGACCTTGATTTGCATTTGAAATGGTTAATCTGTGTGAAAGCTGGTCAACGAATACTTAGTGACATTATTTTCTGGTTGAGTCAAAGCTGTTTCAACATTGAACAGGCTTATGTAGTACACTACCAGCCGTGATACAGGGCCGAAACGAAAAGCAGACCATTGCATTTTAAAGTGCCTCAGGAGCGGAATGTACATATCAGTTAACTGAGGATAAGACCAAGAAATCATAATTGATCTTTACAGCAGCATCCTGGCTGCCTGGTCCTTCAAATTTAACATGAAATTAAAAATGCCCCTGGTTATCTTATTGGTCTTGTTTCCATCTAGTATTAGATCCTTTGTGGCAATCCGATCAAAAATGGTCAGCCAGGATGCATTGCTGTTTTTATCTGGAAATCACATGAATTCAAATTTCATTGAGAATCTCCCTTCCTACTGTTTCACCCAACATCACTTGCAGGGACCCATAATACTCGGCTTACAAGCTAATTAGAAAAGGGGTGAATGAAAAGGTAAAGGAGCACATCTTGTCTTTTATTGAAGCCTATGTATTTTGGTACAACGCCACAGCGGTACTCCACCAAAAAATGAAAATTCTCTCATCATTTACTTACCCTCATGCCACCCCAGATGTAAATTACTTTCTTTTTTCTGGAGATTTTTAGAAAAATAATCCATCTCTGTGAGCCTATATATAATAAAAGTGGATGGGTCTCACAAATGTGAGCATGGTTTCTGAAGTATTCACAAGAGTCTAGAGCATGAGCTTCCTGTCACATCCTGTTAAGATTATGTACGCAAACGTAAATTAGCTTGTTTACATGGGCTGAGGCATCAAGAATAAGCACGAGCAAGTATGAGGCTATGGATTACAGGTAGTAGTGTTGTAAATAACATTCCTGTTACTTGCACAGACCCATAATTTCACTTCAAAAGACCATAATATGTCGTCAGGAGCCACGGAAAAATTTTAATACAAAAATAAAACATTATTAAAAAGTGTTTAAATCGGTCATTCTTCTAAAGAAACATTGTCCAACAGCGACACCAGCAGGTAAATTTACAGCGGGAGTCAGCATCTCTCTTGCCTCCCCTGAGCCCACTGAATTTTAACAGACCCCCCCCAGCGGTACTCCACCAAAAAATGAAAATTCTCTCATCATTTACTTACCCTCATGCCACCCCAGATGTAAATGACTTTCTTTTTTTCTGGAGATTTTTAGAAAAATAATCCATCTCTGTGAGCCTATATATAATAAAAGTGGATGGGTCTCACAAATGCGAGCATGGTTTCTGAAGTATTCACAAGAGTCTAGAGCATGAGCTTCCTGTCACATCCTGTTAAGATTATGTACGCAAACGTAAATTAGCTTGTTTACATGGGCTGAGGCATCAAGAATAAGCACGAGCAAGTATGAGGCTATGGATTACAGGTAGTAGTGTTGTAAATAACATTCCTGTTACTTGCACAGACCCATAATTTCACTTCAAAAGACCATAATATGTCGTCAGGAGCCACGGAAAAATTTTAATACAAAAATAAAACAACATTATTAAAAAGTGTTTAAATCGGTCATTCTTCTAAAGAAACATTGTCCAACAGCGACACCAGCAGGTAAATTTACAGCGGGAGTCAGCATCTCTCTTGCCTCCCCTGAGCCCACTGAATTTTAACAGACCCCCCCCCAAAGCGTGCGGTGAGTTTGCTTGCGGGTAATTGAGAATGAATGGAAGAAAGTCACATGAGAGGAGGCAATGCCTCCATCGCGATATGATTGGATATGACTGGTCATGTTCGGCTGTGATTGGTTCATGTGATAAATCCCGCCTCTTGTGTTTGTGCACGTTTCACATTCGCAAATCCATCTGAATGAACAATATAATGGCCTTCATGGGAAGACTAATTAAAAAAAGAACTCACACACAGACATAACCACTATGTTACATTAAAACAAGACTTAAAATGGCATGAATCTGCGGGAGTTTTTAGTTTAGCTTTAATGACTGATGATCCGAAAAATTCAAAAATAGTTAAAAGTTAACTATTAAAAAGAATAGCTGAACATAAGTTCACAAATATAATATATTATTTAAACTGTTACTGTCTTGAGTTATCATTTTGGAATAAATGTAAAATGCTTAAAAACGCTTTCATACTTTAATAATAATATAATTTTTATAATTTAATAATATTTTTTAATTTAATAATAATAATTTAATAATAATAGCTTTAATAAATAGAATATTGATTATATTGTTAATGTAAAAATATTACATATATATTTTCTTTTTCTGATAGTGTAAGTAATGTTTATTTAACCAAAAAAATGTGACTGGGACATGAATTTACCTTTGATTTTAAAAAAAAAATAAAAGAAATTGAGGACTTCTCATTTCAGAACACCACGGCACACCACTGAGCCACGGATATTAATTTTGTCTTGCGTGTATGTGCTTTTTTGACTCTGAAAGCGATGGAAGCCGCTGACTTGCATTTTATGAATCGCCAAGGTTTCAGCTAAAAATCTTGTTTGCTGTTCTACCGAAGAAAAAAGTCACCTACATCTTGGACAGCCTGAGGATGAGTATATTAATAGCAACTTTTAATTTTTGGGTGAACCATCCCTTTAAAACCAGGTGGAAACATTTTTTTTTTTCTTTTTTTTTCTCATTGATTATAATGGTTTGCCTAGAAATACGCCAGGTTACTGCAAATGGTGTTCAAACATTTCATCTTTTTCTTAAATAGTGACAGATGCAGGATGAAAGGGAGGAAAACAGATCTTTCATTTTGATAAGGAAGTAAAAAGAAGTGTTAGAACTTACAGGCAAGTAGAGAAGTACAGATCCTGAAAGTATCGCTTCAAGAAGTATAAGACCATTTTTTCTTTTTTTTTTTTTCATTGATTATAATGGTTTGCCTAGAAATACGCCAGGTTACTGCAGTAAAATGGTGTTCAAACATTTCATCTTTTTCTTAAATAGTGACAGATGCAGGATGAAAGGGAGGAAAACAGATCTTTCATTTTGATAAGGAAGTAAAAAGAAGTGTTAGAACTTACAGGCAAGTAGAGAAGTACAGATCCTGAAAGTATCGCTTCAAGAAGTATAAGACCAGATGCTTTGATTCTCTGAAAAACAAGAGAGAGAGAAGTAATAGGAGAGAATACTGAACTATGACATTTTGAAAAGCAGTAATTGCCCTTCAGCCCAATAAACCTGCTCAAGCAGAAATCGAGCTCTAGTTTTTCTTTCAGGTAACTCTAGCAGAATAAAAGCAGAGTACAAAGCCTTTCCAGGCGAGATAACCGGCAGTAAATGTTCTTACCTTGTTGCGACGGAAGTGGTAGACGACCACCATGCTGATGAGGTCCAGGAGCATGCAGAAGCCCTGAAAGGAGACCATGGCGAGGCGGAGGGCCATGTCCTCCTGAGCCACACACGGTGTGTCGCCTGTGCAGAACGGACAGCCTTCTCGGCAGGGCAAGCACCTCCCGGACGGTTCCCAGGATTGATCAGTGTACGTTTCCCGGTCTGATTCTAACAATGAACGACAAGGAACCATACTATGACATATCTGTTGATGTGTTTGCATTGTATACAGCGTTGTGACTGAAGGATTTATCCAAAAACAACTCAAATCTCATTAAACGTTACCACCATGAAACTATTGAACTTGGATTGATGACCAATTGATAATTGGTTAACGGGAATTTTATACCAGGAAGGAATGTTATTTATAAACCCAGAGCTGTTTTGTAGTTATTAATGATGTTTCAACTTTCTTTCAGATGGTTCTCCTAAAATTGCTGAAGAGAAATTGACTGCTAAAAGTCTGCTAAATTGGAACAACTAATTTTGTACTTAATGCAATTTAATTGTGCGGAAGTAGTGTTGGGGGTAACGCATTACAAGTAATGCAAGTTACGTAATCAGATTACTTTTTTAAGTAACTAGTAAAGTAACGCATTACTTTTTAATTTAGAAGGAAATTTCTTTGTCAAACAAGTAACTCAAGTTACTTTTGTCCCCCATGTATTGACTGACAGCTGTTGTGTTGCCATATTGAGAGAAATCGGGAGTAAGTGCAGAGGCGTTGTGTGCGCTGTGTGAACGTGATGCTTACTGTAGTTCTATACTAAATATGAACAGATTCAGTATTCCTCAAAATGAATAAAAACAGTCAAATGCAAACTCAGAATATTATACAAACCTGCAATAATTAAATGTTAAATAAGACAAATATAATTTATGTATTTAATCCCATTTTATTAACCAATGTCTTTGCTGCTGACCTTCGATGATCCACTTCAACCATACTAAGCAAAGATGACACATTTGTTTTTCATTTTTGTTATTGCTGAATAGTGTTGAACTTTCTTCTCCTGCGTCATATTCTTCATGCAATTTGTTTGAGCTGCGCCCTCTACTGTACAGACGTGAATTTACATTTTCTTCAACCTGAGGCGTATTCGTTTCACTTTTGGTGTGAAAGGGCGTTTACATTTGTAAAAGAATAACTTTTTATATTAAAAACAAACAAATAAGCCCAGCCCAGATTTAAAAAGTAATGCAAAAGTAACGTAATGCATTACTTTCCATAAAAAGTAACTAAGTAACGTAATTAGTTACTTTTTTAGGGAGTAACGCAATATTGTAATGCATTACTTTTAAAAGTAATTTTCCCCAACACTGTGCGGAAGTAGTGCTGAAGTATATTAGATTGTACTAAAGTTGAGCTATTGAAAGTCTACTTCAGGTACACTTTAAATAGCTTGCATTTAAAGACCGATATTATTCAAAGACCATACAATCCTCACCAAAAGTGACATTAAAACGTATTTTATTCTTAATTTTAAGAAATGTGCATTGTGCACCAGTAGTACTCCAAATAAAATGTAATTATAATTTTTATATCAGTAAGTCTCAAGCAATATGTCAGTAAATATAGCAATAGATTTGAACTAGTATGAAACAAATGTATTTTAAATACATTACTTTTTTACTAGGGTTCTTTATGGATTTATTGGTCCATAAGGTATTAAAAACATGGAAGTAAATCCCTGTTAAAGTTAATATGGAGTTCTTCCAAAGAACGTTATGGCTGACCTGCACTATAGCTTCTACTAAGAACCTTCTTAATCTGACTTTGTCCAAAGTGATTTCTCCTGAGGGAGTGAAGTCAAGAATAAGCTGTTGTAACAGTACAGTAGTAACCTAATAATGCAGAGCACACACAATGACAGAGCAGATAACAGACTATAACTGCAGAGGCTCAACGAAGTTCACTAAACTTAGATTGGATGATTTTCAGAGAGTCCCAGGGCTTGTGAAATATGTACATGGAAGCCTTGGTTTATCAAATATGAAATAAGGTAAATGCGTGTATCTGCCACGTGTTTGAACAGAACTGCAGCTTTTTGTAATTAGTCCACATTGGCCTGTATGTAAATTAGCAAATACTGTCTTCATGCTTATGTTACTTCATTACTTTATGAATCAGGCAAAACGAATAGATATCACCATACTTTCCCCAGCTGATTAATCACAGTACATTGTATTACAAGTTTTCTGAAACGTTATGGTTAAACATGTAAATGAGGTATTGTCTAATTAAAGAGCCACTCATTTGCATAATTTTCAGAACATAAATCTGAACATTGAATAAAGCCAGGATCAAAATTTTGAGTTAGAAACTTTTACAAAGGGGAGTTTGCATCTCTCTTTATCTCTTTTTTAGTACTCCATAAATCAGAAAATACTGTCAACTGGCAAAAAAAAAAAAAGAATACATTTATTTTTAAGAATAAAATGTTATATAAATCAGTTATATTACGTTATATAAACAAACACTTCTGTTTAAATAGGAATAAAACTGGAAAGATTGGAAGTGGAGATTTCTGATTCAGTACATGAGAAAAAAAATATTGTAATTAAAATCTACAGATGCAAATAGATAATAAACACTTAAATGTGTATTTTGGATGTTTCCTTATAGTCTGAAAGAAGCTAAACGGACTTCAAAATTGACCAGTGTCTGAAAAAACACTAGTTTTGCCTATACATTTCTGCTTTAAAAGTGGAAGAGACTCATTTCAAAGGAGCTATTTTTACATCAGTTTATATCTGAGCGTGTGAGAGAGGAATATTGCTCTTAACAACTAGGACTCTGCATTAAATAGATATAAACTCTGTCTTTGGGGTATCCGTACCTAGTTTGAAATCATAAATTATCTGGTGGAAGGATGTAACTATGTTTGTGTATCCATTTCTGTCAGAAAGAGTAATTCAATCCAGACTAGTTCTGTTCAAACAAGACCCATTACTTTATTTATGTGCATTTTACATTCACATTCATTGTTCACAGACAATAAAACTGTGGAATAATCTAATTGTCTTACATTGAAGGATGGCCCAGTTTTAACTACTCATATTTATCTCTCGCAAGTAGTTTTTAATATCAATTATCAAAATACCATAAGAGATTTAAAGTATGATGTTAGAGGTTCCTATACAGTTCACCTCAAAAACAATTCACATTATAAATCCAACGTCCCACCAGTTCAGATTTGTACTTACTTGAGAAGCCATTGAGCGCCACTTGGCTTTGGTGATAGAAACCACTCTTGCATTGGCACGTGTACTTGTCCAGCACAAATCCATGGCCTGCAATCGGTTTACACTAGCAAAAAAAAAAGGGGGGTTAGTTTTACAACTGAACATTAGTAAAAGTACAGTACGTAATAGGAGACACAATTAAGCTACAAGTACCAGTTCCACTACCTCTTTCTCCATTTTTAAGCACTGAAACCTTAACTGATGCTGGAAATTATATATATTTGTTCAACACAACTCACTGTATGAGCAAGGAACTTCCTGAGGAAATTGGTTCTGCTAACAGACCATCAGTGACAGTGGTGTCACTGTCATTTATCACACTGCCAGGTATGAAAATGTCAGTTTTATCAGTTATTATGACAGTCGATACATGTGCAGCAGTTTATTTTTACTCATATTCTAGCAACATCACGGTAAAGCTCACACGAGCGTGCAAACAGATGGGCTCACAGCAGCTTTCTCCTTAAAAGCTCTTTAAAATGACTGCTAAGCAGTCTAAAGTCAAACGAGTTTACCTATAGAACAATACATACAGTGCAACAAGAAAGATGTGCACAAGATGTATCAATAGTGCAATTTTGTGCCTGTTTTAAGTGCAAAAGAGACTTGCGAACTTCAACTTTTTAGACTGCTGTATTCCAGAAAGAGAAATAAATAGTTGCACTGTGAACTATAGGTCTGAAAAAAGTCACACCAAGTTCACAAGACTCTATAAATAATCTGGAAGTGCCATGAAGCCCAGAGGAAATCTAATGAAGCGAATGGGCTGGATGCTGATCTCAGAGAAAGGTTTCAGGTTAAATTAGTCCTTGTTTTGTCACCTTTATTTTAGCAAGAAGTATTCAATGTATCAAGTCTTAATTTTTCTAGAAGATAATTACCTCCCTTTTAGATTTATGCACTTGGTTTACTAAATGCACTAAATCTTCAGCGAGAACATGGGTGCCAAATGCTACGTTCTCAGAGACAATGAAACAGGTTTTTACATATACATTTTTACATTATATTTACAGGTTTTACGTTTTATGTGTTGCTCTTTCAGAATAACGCTACAGATCAGACGCCCCTTAAATTCTCAATAATATAATTACAATCAAAAACATTGCCATTATTGCAATGTAAAAAGATATGTTGATATCTATCTAGCTTATTTAAAGATAAATAACATGTATTTATACATCATGGTACTGCTTCTAATTTACAAATATTCAAAGTTTTTAAAATTCATTGTAAAAAAAATTATGGGATAATGTACATCCAGCAGGTTGCTATCGCATAATAAACCTCGACAGGGTGATCAGGACCCCGACGTGAAGCGGATATTATTTCTATTTATTCTGCAATAACAACCAGGTGGATGTACATTATCCTGCTTATTACATGGCTACTTGCTGCATACGTAAATAATTAGATATGAAATATTGATTTGAGTTGAAATACTTTATTAGGTCTTTAAATGCAAAGCAAAACCGATCTAAACATTCAGCTTGGATGAAATTTACGGCATATAATGTACAGTCGTATCACTAATTACACACCATATGAATAAAGAAGAGGACATACAATGTTATTTGAGATGAAGGCATTTTAAAATCTTACGTGTACATTATCTTAAAATCAATTCAAATCCAGTTTACAACAATCAAGATGAACACTGCAAAAATATTACAGCAGGTCTGCTATTAATACTGAAGTCTTCACAGTAAATACAGTTGATAACTGAGGTGCAAGATGATAGCAGTTGTGTTTGAATGAAACAAGAGAGAGTGCGGTGGTGTGATGTGAGAGATGTTAAAGAAGCACCGGTCTAAAATACCTGGACGAGCGGTGTGTTATTCTGTGTTACACACTTCAGAATGGCATGACTGATCAAGGCATGTTGTCACATTTAGTTTTGGGTTTTGTATCACGTTTAGGTTTTCATGTCTTTTATTTTGTAGTTTAGTCACAGTCATATCTCCTGTTTCCTGTCACGTGCTTCCCATGCCCTCATGTGTTCTTGTCCCTTACGGAACAAAAATATATTTCCATATATTTATGATCAATATTTTCCCTTACGCAAAGAAAATATATTTCCCTATATATTTCTTAATACATCTGCACATGGGCTCATTTCAGCTCATCTTCAATGGACATTTATGACAATCGTATACTGTAAAATACTAATACTATTTTTACTGTAAAATACTAAAAGTAATGTGAACCCAATAAAAATCACCACTAAGAATAGTTATAACTAAATACATTCAAATTGTGAATGATAATGTCCATATACATGACTTAATGAGAATGTTTATGGGTATGTGTGCTTAATTATCATGAAATTAATGTCATAATGCAAAAAAAATCCTAAAAGGTCTTGTGAACCGATGGTTTTGTTCCTGTGAGATTCACCCGATCGTTAATGCCAATTAATTTCCAGAGGGCAAAGCTTTGATTAGGGCTGAATGTTGATTTATACACCCCTGTGGTTCAATAGTACCCTCTATCCTAAGCACCAGAACATGATTTTCAGTATATTAGCTGTTCCCCTCTGAGCATGCTCTATATGAATATGATTTAATAATACCAGCCTTGCTGCTTTCCAGTGCAGATAAATGTGGGTGACCCGAGACATTTGAAAACATGAATTCATGCATGGAAATCTTCAGGAGTGAGGAGTGTCAGCATCAGCAGAGTTAGAAGATCAATCTGTCACTGAAGACAGCGGCGCTCAACCTCCTGCTGTACGCTGCCGACATAACACGCCTGCAACAGGATATATTTGGATTTGCGTGTATATTCGTGACAGCGCACATTTAGTTCACTGTTGTTATGAGTTCCTGTGTGTTTATCAGCTACCTGTTAACTGCTTCTCACTGCTTTTTATCCAAAATTTTAAAGCATGGCATTGGCTTCGGAATCAGTGGATAGACAAACTCTGGTTGCACAATTTCCATTTCTGCATAAATTGGTGATAAAATGTGATTTAGCAGGACATTTTGCCAAAGAATGTAAGGCCATCTGTAGCTCAACGGAAGTTGAGGACAACGATCCAAAGCACAGGAGAGAATCAACAACACAATGGCCTTAACAGAAGAAAATATACGCCTTCTGGAGTAGCTTGACCTTAACCTGAGATGCTTTGGCATTCACAACAGACATCCAAGAATACTGCTGAAAGAGTTTTATAAAGAGGAATTTAAAACTATCTAAGCTTTCACATACTTCTTCCACCCTGCACTGGGAATATTTGCACAGTGTTTCATCACAAATTCATGGAGAAATTATTCTGAGTAGTATCAAGTATCAAAGCGCCGAAGGTGTTGACAATGTGAATTACAGGTATATTTCACAAATTCTGCATTTTTTGTTGCTGGTCTGATTGCTGTTGTTATAGTATTGACTCGATTACACTGCATCTGTGCAGAGATTCATGAATTATTCAAGAATCAACTGGTCAACACAAACAGTCAGCAGTCTTTATCTATAGTAGGAATAACATGAATATAATCTTCAAATATTGTTAATTTCCACCAGTCACATTTATAGGCTACTTCCTGTATACATATAGAGACAGAGCGCATTTAGGCCACGCCCACACCGGGGGACACACACTTTTGTGTCCTTAAATGCTCGTTTTTTGGGTCTACAGCTTATAAAAACGTTGTTCTGTTTTTTTTTAGCTTGTTTACTGTACACCTTGTCACGCAGCAGCTTTTAGGCTTTTCTGTTTTTTGCTTTTCTGTTTTTTTGTTATAAGTCAGAAATGACAAGGAGGCAGCTTCCCGCAATACAAAGTCAATGGAGAGCGTTGGATTGTTTCCCCCCGGTGGGCGTGGTTTTCAGATTATGACGCGTGTCGCTCTGTCTCTATATAAACAATAAATCTGGATCAAATCTGACCAGAGTGAAATTAAATGAAACAGAACGTATGGTTCTCAAAACATAGCACTGATGGCATGAGATGCTGGAAAGACAGCGGGATTCATTGCAATGCAAACCGTTAAAGGGGCCAATCTAGTGCATGTTTACATAGGAAAACAATTAAAAAAGAACAGTGCCTTCTACATACCAAAACGGTACACTACCGTACTTTCTCATGTTTTGAGCTCTTTGTTATTCTTTTTCTGTTTATTTGATGTCATTGTTATCAAAATGAAAGTTTTGAGCTCTTTTTATAATATATATTTTTTTTAAATTATGTTTATTTGAAGTTCATTTTATATGATAAGGTTGTATTGTTTATATTTCATGGTACAATAAATGTGTTTTATTAATATATGATTTTAAATTACCATCACTTTAAAAAGTGTTAGTAATACATTCCCTTTTTAAAGTTGGCTACATTAACAGCTGTGATGTGTCTCGCTGTCTTTTCAGCATCTTCTGCAATTAATGCCACATATTTAAGATGTTTTAGATCTTAAATAGATTGATATATTTTGAAAGATATATACAGTATATAAAGTATATTATATATAACATTATATATAACAATAAAATGTATAATGTAAACAAGGTAAAGAAATGCACCCTTTATAGTTATGCAAAGAAATAACAGAAGCAGCAAATAAGCCTGCAAACAAAACAAATGGCGGCAACCAAGATTTCACTTCTACAACATAAATATCAGGTTATTTGCTTTTTTGTTTACTTTTTTGCTGATGCGCTTAGGTGTTGCATTAACCATTTAAAGGGTTAGTTCACCCAAAAATGAAAATTAGCCTGTGTTTTACTCACCCTCGAGTCATCCTAGGTGTATAGTATATGACTTTCTTCTTTCAGACGAATCCACAGTTATATAAAAATTTTCCTGGCTATTCCAAGCTTTGTCATTGCAGTGGGCGGGTGTTTCTGTTCAACAGTCCAAAAGACGTCAAATAAAGCGCGCGCATCCGTAACACGGCTCCGGGGGGGTGTGAATAAAGGACCTCCTGTAGCGAATCCACGTAATAAACACTTTTCTCTCACTTCTGGTATCTGTCGTTCCGGCGGATGACGTAGGACATATGCGTCGCGCACGCACCTGTGAGACATGCTAGTCTCGCGAGTTTGTTTACAGGAGCAAAGGAAGCAAAGTTTCCTTACTTTAGCAAAGGAAAACCAGTCTCCTCTTGGTTTATATCGAAATACTCCGACATTTTTCTTTACAAATCCTCAGTTTGTACTTCTAATTCGTGACCGGCATTTTGTTTTGTTCTCTCTCCGCGTTCATCACTAATCACGCAACGCTGACGTGCTGCATCATCCGCCGGCACGGCTTTCGCATACCACAGTTAGATGAAGTGAGAGAAAAGTGTTTATTACGTTTGAAATATGGATATTTTTCTTATAAAAATGCATGGATTCGCTACAGGAGGCCTTTATTCACCCCCAGAGCTGTGTGGCACATTTTATTATGAATGCGCGCGCTGGATATTCATTAAATTATCTAGTTCACCCAAAAATGAAAATTCTGTCATCATTTTTTGTTAAAAACGTGTACTTCCTTTAATCTGTGAAATGTGGAACACAAAGGGTTGTGTTTGTCAGATAAAAGGAAGTACATGTTTTTAAAAAAAATGACAAAATTTTCATTTTGGGTGAACTATTCATTTAAAGTCTTTCATCTTCAGTTTTAGATTCTACTACTAATGATGCATGAGAGTTTATGCGACACGCTCACTGATTACACTCAGAAACAATAGCTTTCTACTGACAGCCAATGAGATCCACCATAACACAACATTACCATTACAACTAATGGACCGGATGAAATGGCACAGCAGTAGAAAAGACTGACAAACCATGGGAAACCAGAAAGGAAAATGCTGCCTTCATGTGACAAAGCTCTGATTTTATGGTGCCGGCCTTGGACATTTTCTGTCTCAAGTCTCCAGAGCTCTTTTCTCGAGCTGTAACGGAGAGACATAACAGAGTCTAACATCCACTCAGGTTAATCCACCTCAAGTCATTGCAGGACATTTAGTGCATATGATTCGGGATGCGTTCCTGTCAAGCCCCGGGCTGATGTTGCTCATCTTGAATGACAGGACAGACTTTAAGAGGCATAGTCCTGCTGTCTTAGGTAGAGATGAGGCTATAAATAGATTCACACTGGCACACAGGTAGTGATACACACACACACACACACTGCTTTCTTCCTCTTTCTCAGACAGCACACAAGTATTTCTTCCCTCTCATAAACACAAGAAACCCTTCCGAATATCGTTTTGCTTCCGTTGCTGTGGTCGGGAGCGAGCGTCGTGCTTATGAAGGCTGCCGTGCTTTTCCTTGCTGCTTTTCCTCTAGTGTTCCCATGAGTGGGACTACACAGACACGGAGCATGGTCAATAATTTAGTAAGCCCACCGAAATCCATTATACTGCATTTATAATGGATCACAGCTTACTGGCAAATTCTCCTCAACACAAGACAACAACTTGGCCTTGCAAACCCGGTCCAATCCACGCAATATTCGATCGCATCATATAGATGACCGACTGATATATCCTTAAGTCTGGTGTCCAATTACCTTTTTTAAGCATCAAAGGTGCAAATTCCATACTTCTGCTGAGCAAAATGCAATGTAACAGAATGCAGGGTTCCCAAAAGCACTCTTTAATGTGACACAGCATCTTAAAAACATGGCACTCTGCAGAAGATGCTGAAAAGACATGTTAACAAAGAAGAATAATTAAAAAACAGTGCGGATGGATTGAGAACATGTTCTGTGTAAACAGCATTGAACATACCAAAATGTACTACTGTATTTTCTAATGTTTTGAGCTCATTTTTATATAATTTTCTGTTTATTTTATATTAATATTACATGACAAAATTGTATTGTTTATATTTCATCTTACAAAAAGCTTTATTACTTTATGTACAGTCACTTTACATAAACATTTTTGTTAGTTACATGGCTTTTTTAAAACTGTAAAGTTTCAAATTACAATCTTCTCATATATTTTTTAAATGATTACAATATAAATTTAGCAGTAATTACAAAGCAACGTTTACTCACAAATTAGCTAGTCCTCACAGATTCCTTTATGTTAAATTTTCAACACATATTTGTTCTGTTTTTTAAAAATATTCAACAGTATTATAAAATATAATAAAACATCTTAGGTTGGCAATCAATAAACTTACTATAGCATATACCATGCTATAGCAAAAGATTTTACTTTACATTAGATTTTTTTTTTTTAATTTTAGAGTTACAAAGCAGAACACATTTATGCAGAGTTGCTAAGCTATAGTGTTGTTAAAAGTACCGGTACTTGAGCATTATAGCCAATGACAAACATGTTTGTTGAGCATGTGAACGCCAAAGGCATCAGAGGCTTTGAATTTAGCCAGATTCTGCTCAGTTCACCAGAGTTTTTTCAGCGGGAGCTCTTTGTGCTTCTGAATTATTTCGCAATAACCAACACAGTATTAACACAATATATAGTAAAGTTTCATTGTTCAATAAAGACAGATTTTTTGATTATAAATACACAGTTCTGTCGTGAAATCGGATATAATCACATCATTATTCATATGGTGCAGCTTTCTTTTCACATAAACAGCCAATGTGCTTGCTTCTCAACATTGAAATACTCGGCTAGTGCTTGCTGTAGCAGTTGCAGCACACTTCAGAAACCCTTCACTTCCCCAGCTCCACCTGTATAGATCTGCTACAGGGTTTCATATATGTTATATGTGCAGCAGCAGTATTTCTTACATGCTCACAGCAGCATGTCTGTGGATGTATTGACTGTAGTAAGTTTTGGTACTTGCTCTGCAGCAGCGTAGCAGATCTATTCCGTCAAGACCAAACACATTAACGTTGCCATGTATATTACCATGCTAAACTCTCCAAGAGTTGTCACGACAGAACTGGAGTTTTCACTCAGTCAATGGCTGAACTGAAGTAATTTCGATTAGATTAACTGATTATAAAGGGAACACACTCAGCTCAGTTTCTGTTCAAACTTTCCTCACTATCTTTATATAAACCATTCGTAATTTGTATAAAAATGTTATTTTTCTTGCTGCTAAGTACACATCGTGTAGTTTTGAGAGTGACGACTGTATTAAAATGCAGGACAGGCTAAGGCTACATGCTAGCATATTGTTTACTTAGAATTATTAATAGCATTAAAAATTCACAAACTTTTATTTATTGAATTGAAATAAAAATAAAATAGTTACAATAGCTTTTGCTATGGTACTAAAATTGATACAGAGAACCATGTAATTTTACTGGCATGGAATCGACTACTGAAATTTTGGTACTACTAAGCAACATTGCAACTTGCGACAAATGTGGCTCATCCAATCAAAACTTAGAGTCTGAATCATTTGGTTTGTGATGTTAGTTTTACTGTTTTGAGTCTTTATTTGTTATGAATAATCATATCTTTTGAATGGTGTCCAAAATTCACTAAATTATTTAAAGATATGTGTGACGAGAGGGGCGGATTTTGTGTTTGTTTTTATTATTAAAGTTTTCTTTAAATGTTCGCCGGTTCCCGCCTCCTTCTTCCCGTGACTACGAACGTTGTTACAATATGCATTATCATTTGGTTATTAAATATAAATCATTGTCATTGAAATCCCAGCAAAAAAAAAACAACAACAACAACTATATTATCACATACAATAATATTTTGGTCATATCACCTACCCCTATCCAGCACACACACGCAGATGGAGAACAAATCTCACTTTAGTCTGAGAAAGAGCGAAAGAGCAGACAGCTTCTGAAAACTAAGTGTTTCATGTATGTTATTTTTAATTGGCACATTTTTAAAAGGGTCATATGATGCTATTTAAATTTTTCCTTTCTCTTTGGAGTGTTACAAGCTCTTGGTGCATAAAGAAGGGTTGCCACAAGCTCGCCGGCCGCGCCGCCGCTCACTCTAGCCCGCTGGCCGTTCCTCACTCTAGCCCACTGTGTGTTTCGTTGTGAAAGCGAAACTACTTTGTTTGGCCTTCCAAAAGAGGACCACCATGTTACATATTATGAACTAATATGTTACTAGCAGAATTTAAAAAAAAAAAACAGCGGAACAAATGTTTGCACCATGCTTGCTTGAAGATTTGTTTGTATGTTTTTCACACCACTTCATGTAGTCCAGCACTTGTGCAGTGACATAATGCATAAACCCACGCAGTGATGTGATTTAGCGTACGAGTGCGCCTTCCAGAAACATCCAATCCAGCCCAAACTCTCACTGGCACCCGGGCAGAACAGCTCGGATGGTCTAATTAGCTCTCACAGAGCAACTTCCAGCACAGCTTACTACAGACTCCAGTCAAGGATGTGATAAATCCCCCATTTAATTCATCTAAAATACAAACAAAGATAATGAACCAATCTGGAGGGAAAGTGAAGCTTCACAGTGGAAAAAAATGAACCATGAAAGCAATCCCACTTGAGCAAACAAAAATATTATTGCGCTCTGTCCAATTAATTGGAAAGGAGAATTGATGCTGCTAAAATGAAAAGTTTCACATCAGGGATATTATGAAGTTAGAAAGCTTTAAACATGCAGGTCTGCTTTGATAAGGTCACACACAGCAGGGAAAAATGATGTTAAATGCAAACATTGCACAAAACGAAACATTCAAATGTGTTATATGCTCACAATACACGATGCATGCAAGTCATTATATATCTGTGATTTAATGCACAAATAAATGCCAAGCCACTTGCATTTCTACACCAAAATATGACCTATTACATTAATATGGTTTTTGTGATGTTCATAAAGCGCTTTTTTGAATTTTTCATTTAATTTCAATATTTAATTTTAATTATATTTTTTGTTTACTTGTGCCTAATGTAAATCTGGGTGCAGAAGCAAACGTTTTGAGTGTTTTTGTGTCTCAGTCATTGTATGTTAGTGATGAGACTGAACACTCACCTCCATAGTTGTCAAGTTACAGCGGTGAGTTCCTGCAAACCAGCCGCTGCTGGAGCACTGGTCAATGTCCACATCCTGCAGATTAACATCCACACGCACAACTCCTCTACACCACCACAGAAAGAGACAGAGAGAGAGAGAGAGAGAGAGAGGGAGTTTCATTTAAATGAAAACTCGCAAAGACAGCAAAAGAACAGTATCAATGATTTAGGCTTTCGTTAAATAGTTATATTTTTGCATCAGAGCTGCAGCGCTGTAGTCATGACACTTTAATTTCAGGCGACATGAAAATCAACACATAATGTGGCTTCTGTACCACCTTTGCAGTGTGAAGAGAGCTACCAATGAGCACAAATTAGTATGCAAATATATGCAAGAATGAAGATCAGGGAATTCAAATATTAAGGTGCATATGCTAAGACTTACTATTAATAATAATCTAAAGTTTAAAAAAAAAACTCAAATACATTGCTAATGTATTTTTTATATTTTTGCTCAAACTCACATATGCATGCTTTAGCACAACACTTTAATTGTACTTCATTGTTCATGGGAGGATCGCTTTGAACTTGAAACAGACAAAACTCACAAGCAAGCATGTACAGTATACAACACATTTCACCATGTTTTACTTCACTTGTAAAAGAGATGAGAATTGTAGTCTGCCCAGGTCAACCTTAAAGGAACACTCCACTATTTTTGAAAATAGGCTCATTTTCCAACTCCCCTAGAGTTAAACAGTTGAGTT